CCCCGTGTACGCTCAGCCCCCAGTGTATGCTCAGCCCCCATGTACACTGAGTCGCCCCCCCCCCCGGCCTGGATGCACTGGGTGGGAGGAGGGAGTCGCCGCGGTGGCTGCCGCCCAGGAACCCGGTCTTCTGCGCAGCAGCGCGGCGGCGCCCACGCGTGGTGAGCGGGCGGGCCCCGGCCAGCCCTGTGGAACGCCTTGGAGAAGACGGGACACAGCAGTTCTTGTGCTGGGGGGTCAAGGTGTGTGGCCGCGGGGTGGTGCCCGGCCTGTGAGCTGGGCTTTTTCCCTGGGAAGACTGACGGGCTGTGGAGGGTTTGGAGCCCCTGGCAGTGGTTTAGTCTTCAATGAGAGCCATTGAAGGTGCCTAAGCCGGGAGCAGCCACGCAGACCAACATGCAGACCTCAGCCCAGGGTCCTCCACCCCAGCTGTGGGCCAGCCCCAGCCCAGCCAGCGAGACGCCCGGACCAGGCCCTCCCAGCCGCCATCTGCCTCTACCCACAAGTACAAGCAGGCTTCAAGGAGAAACCAAGTCGCCCAAGGCAGCACAGCCCACAAGTAGAGAAGCCAAGACTCGGGCCCAAGATGGACCGATCCACGGTCTGCCTGTGAGACAGGGAGGCCTTAAGTTAGCATACCAAGCCACGGCACACAGACACAAGAGGTGAGGAGGGGCAGGCCCAAAGCACAGAAGTGAAGCCACACCTCTCCTTTGTATTGGTCAGCTACCGCTGAGTAACAAAACCACCCTGAAAGCGGGAGGGGGAAGCAATGTAAAACACCATCCTCGTGTGTGGCACAGTGAATAAGGAAGGTGGGGAAACACAGCTCTGGTCTCTCGAGGCCACCATTAGGGTCTCTCTGGGGCTGAGCCGCTGAAGGACGGGCCTGCGGGCTCATCCGCACGGCTGAAGGCCACAGGCATCCGTGACTTATCACGCCGCTCCTCCAGCGGCCACCAAAGCCCAGGCGTGCCTCCCCTTGTCTTTCTGACCTTGGTCGGCGGTTGACGTTTGTATTGAATCCATGTGCTTCTTTTAAAATCGACTTTTCTACCCTCCTTCGCAGGGAGAAGAGACGGAAGAGTCAGCGGAGGGAGAAAGCCGGTGGGGAGAAAGTAGTTGAACTTTTATTTTTCCTTCAGCAGTTGTTTCTCTCCCTCCAACCTCACACCCGTGAGCACCCCAGGAGTCAGCAGAGAAAAGCAAGTCGATTCATCATGAAGTCATCTAAACAGTTCTGTTTCTGAGCATAAACTGAAGCGCTTAATTAATTCCACATACGGCAGGAAGCGCAGGGCCTTCGTCCTCCCCAGAAGAGGGAATCCATGAATGAACACATTGAGCAGGCCGGCCTCGCGCCTGCCCCGCACACATTACCTTAATTACTCTTGGCTGGGGCCTTGATGAGGACCCAGATTTCCTGGGGGTCTCCCAGCCTTATCAGAGGCCGGTCTGTCCGGGGCACACGTGCAGTGGCCAGAACAGGGTGGCCAACTTCCTGACTTTGTTCTATAATAAGATTCTCTCTTTCCTGTTTTTGGTTTTTGTGTTTTGTTTTTTTCTTTTTTCCTTTTGGAGACAGTCTATGTAGCAGAGGCTGGTCTCAAACTCACAATTCTGCCTCAGCCTCTGGAGCCGTGGGACTACAGGCATGCACTATCACACAGTTTGTGGGAACCCTGGAAAGCAATGGCCTACCTCTGGAGGCATCTGAGGAGCCTGGATCTGTTCTGACAGCACCCCAGGCCCCACTGCCCACAGCCGGGCCCCACTGCCCACAGCCGGGCCCCACTGCCCACAGCCGGGCCCCACTGCCAACCCTGAAAATGTGGCTTCTCCCTACCCCATTTCCAAACCTGTGAAATGCAGGAAAATGGCGAGCTTGTCAAATACATGGCAAAAGCCAGGCACAGCGGCTCATGCGTGTAACCCTGGCTACTTGAGAGGCAGAGATGGGGGGATCGGAGTTCAAGGCCAGTCAAGGCATAAAAGCTCACCCATGGCAGGCACCCCAGGGCAGGCCTGCCATCCTGCAGATTCACACACACCCACAAACAGGAGGATCAAAGTCCAGACCACCAAATGGAGACCCTATTCCAAAAATAACCAACGCAAAACGGAGCTGGACGTGTGGCTCAAGTGCTAGTGCACCTGCCTAGCAAGGTCAAGGGTGCTGAGTTTAACCTGAGTCCCGGGGGCCCATCGCAGACATTCTGGGAACGCTATATTTAAGGTGCACAGAAGCAATTAGGCCTCACTGAGCAGCAGGAGCCGCACGGGTGGGGAGCAGGGGTCATACCCCGGCCTGGCTCACCTCCTGGCCTGTGAACAGGTCAGCGGTGCAGGCCTCTAGGGTGCTCTGACTGATCCTCAGATCCCAGCTTACTCAGGAGGCTGAGTTCTGAGGATTCTGGTTTGAGACCAGACCAGGCAGGAAAGTCCTGGAGACTCTTATCCCCAGTCAACTTTCCCAAACTCGGGAGAGGCGCTGGGGCTCAATGGGGCTCAAGTGGCAGAAGTCTAGCCTGGGGTAGAAAATAAAAACAGAAGCGGTCTTCCTCTCAGAGCCAGCACCGACGCCCAGTTCCAGCCCAGGCACAGTTCGAGGCCAGGCCCAGCAAGCATGCAAGATCGTAGCCAGGTGGGGAACATCTTTCTGCTTTCCAAGCGCCTTCCCGACGCTCGGCAAACCGCAAGCTCCGGTGCTGGGGCTGCAGATCCTAGGAGCGACCCCTGGGCACCCCCGGGGGCCCGGCCTTGCCCGCGGGCCCCGGGCTGCGTGCGCTCGGGAGCGGTCGTGCGCGTGCTCTCCGTTCTTTACGGTAACCGAAGCGCGCGCAGCGACCACGTG